CTGTTTATATTATAGAATGCTTGTTGTGACTTCCTTTTGTTTAAATTTTGGATCTCTTTGCTATAGTGTTAAAGCTTAAAATTGATTTTTTTTTCATTTTTGTTTTTTTGTTTGTTTGGTTTTTTCCTTTCCTTTAATTAAGGGTACTTTACCTATCTATCCTTTGGAAAGAATAAGGGCTATCTTATGGAAAAAGGGTGAATTTAGAAGCTTTGTAAAAGATTTTAATATTTTCACTCACTGTGGGCTGAAACAGTAAATCAGATTGGGTTACAAAAAAGAAAATACATTATAGTTAAAGAAAGGCCATTATGTGTCCAGATGTGAAAATGAAACTTAGGTTGAAATTTTTACATTCATTCTTTTTGATAAAAATAAGTACCCCATGAATTTAAACAGGCAGCATTTGAAAATTGCTGTATTCCCTGCAAATTATTATTATCTATTGGAAAAGACAATACAAATTTTCTAAAATTAAGTATTAATACTAATCTAGTTTTTAAGCATCTTATGTTTCTTTCAATTTTAAATCAAGGAAACATTTACTAGTCCTCTTCAGTACATTGTAGAGTATTAAATGTCATACCCTGGGTTTTATAATTGAAAAAAGTGTTATAATTTTAAATATAGATAGAAATATGAAATTTTAAAGTAATATATTGATTAGAGATCAGTAGTGATAATGATAAAACATATTGCATACAAACGACAAGGAAATGGATTTGAACTTAACTCTCATCCTGGAATAATTATTTGGTAGAAGAAGGGAATCTTAGGGGAAGATGGGAATCTTAGTATTCTGGGCATTTTGATATTTATCATTGAAATATACCAGATATGTATCTTTTGTAGTAAGACAGTACTTGAAGGGTAACTTCTGTGAATTCCTGTTTTTGCATAGAAATGAAACTAATAGGTTTTAGAGAGCCATTAAGATCCACTCAAAAATCCTATAAAGTATGACATATGCTTTCAAAGAGTGATATAATTGTTTATATAGACAAAATAGACAAAATTAATCCATTTAAATGTATTTTTCAAGGGCAGAGGTTTTAAGAATTTTGAGTGGCAAAGAGGATTATTTTCTGCTTGAATGAAGATGTGTTTATTACGCATTTTTTGGTTCCAAGCAGTTAGTTCTCATGACTTTAAATTCCTCAGTGGGTGTTGTTTAAATTCGGGTACTGTAAGAATGGGCACCACTTTCATTATTTGCAAGTGGGGCTTCCATCCCCTACAAAGAAGTATTGACAACACAGTTCTGCTTGATAAAGCATTGCTTACTAAGTGGTCTTCAGTAGATCAGAGGTAGATCCTGAAATATTATGCTCAAGTTATTTGCTAAGGAACTTTTAATAACACCTAGAACCACTGCTTTAAGGTTTAAACAGGAGGTTTTGATTGGCTGTGTAACATTACTTATAGCAAACACTGATACAGTGCTTACTGTGTGTGAAAGAGGCATATTAAAACAAAGTGAATTTTCACTACTCTAAGAGGTAGGTTCATTTGTTAACCTGTTTTCATTTGAGGAAATTACGCAAAGAGGCTAAATAATTTCCCCAAATTCATGTAGTGAATAAAGTGTTGATGCTTGGATTTTAAACTCACAGATAGTCCAGTAAGCCTCATTACCCTCTTTCCCAAGCAAGAATAGTCCCTTTGTGTCATTATCCCCAGAGTGTTAGAAGCGGAGGTATGGGGGTGCTGTACAGTCTTTTCGTGGGTGTGCTGTGCCTCTTAAGAATACAAGCCTAGACATACGTGGGTTTGAGCACAGAATAAATGTCTTGACTGGAGCTAAAGTACTGAAATAGTCTACCTGTGGTAAACTCAGAATCACACATATAATTTATATATTTAAATTTGTCAGCAAATATGTGATTATAAGGCTTTAGGCAAAGTTAGGGCTAAGGGATGTGTCTCTTGCTTTAAATAGACTATTTCAGTGCAGTTTGCTGCCTTTCACATCCTGATGATAGGCTAATTTTCTTCTATCATCCCTTTTATTTAAATTTCAGAATACAACCATTTTTCTGAGATAGGAACATTTTTTATTTTTTAAATGAAACAAAAAGTCCATCACACGTACTAAGTTATTCTTCTTTTTAGTCATAGTATGGTATGCTATATCAACTGTATTTCTTACTGTGAATAACAAAGTTTGAAGGCCGTTGTTGGAAGTGTAGTATGTGGAAGTAGAAGTCTCCAGATAACTAGTCGGTTTTCACACAGATTATACAAGCATTGTCCTTTTAGGCTGTAAAGTATTGTTTTTATTTCTTACCTTGAAGAAAAATGTGCCTGTTTATCTGTCCTCCCCCAAGGGGTGGGGGGGAGAGCCTTTTTTTTCTAGTTATGTAGACTATGAACTGGATTTTTGATCCCTGAGGGATATGAACCATCTGTTCCTGTCTGTATCCCTTGGCCCTGACTCTTAATCATTCCTCAACAAATAATTTGTTGGTTGTATGACCATTGTGAGCAAACATTTTTTTCCCTAGAAAGTTAGGAGACGACCCCTATGCCGGATTGTGTCTGGAGGATCGTGAGAGGGCTTGTTTCAGGACATCTCCTTAACAGACATCTAGAGGACTGATAAATGAATTTCATCCTATCTTATCTAGAGGATGTGGTTCAGTTCTGGGTAACCGAGAAGATTTTGGTTCTCTCTGGCACCCTGGTTAGGTCAGTCATCTTGATTCTATAACATATTTTAGAGTGATATAATGTTAGAGGGCACTAGAGTAGAAACGCTAAATCCTAGTCTAAATTGTGTAAGTGAAGCACTCAGCAGATGTTGGCCAAAAAATTTTTTTGTAATGGAGCACTAGGAACTAGTAAATGATATACACACCATCTCTTTAATTCTCATAATACCTCTCTGAGGCTGCTTACTATTATTATACCTACTATACAGATGAGAAACTACGGTTCAGACTTTAATACTAGAAGTCAATAATATTGCTATGTGTTGGACTGGGGATACGAAGCCGTGCCTTTAATGGAGCTGTAGTCTAATGCATAAGACCCACAATAAACAAGTAAACAAAAATTACTGTGATTTTAGGCAGAGGTGTATACTGTGAAGAAAAATGATAGAAGAATGGAGGCCATTCTGCAATTTCAGATAGAACAATCAGAATGCTTCAATGACTAGGGTAAATTTCAACAGATCTGAATGATCTTTGAGGGAATTAGCTTGATGTGTAACCTGCGGAAAGAAACAGAAGGTTGGCAACAGAAGGCCTGATCTTGTAAAAAGCTTGGCTTTTTCCAGGCAATTTTGTAGCCTGAGCCAAATGAGTAAGAGGAGAGTGGTAATTCATGGGGTATGAAGAGGGTGCAGAGACCCTGACTTGTGGTGTGCTGTTTTTTTTTTTTTTTAGTAGAAGATCTGGGGTGTAGGCTAGAGGTGCAGGGTGTTGAAAATACTCACCAGAGACAGTGGGGAGTATTAAGGCATTTACTGAGACAGAGTAGGGAGCATTAAGTCGGATTTACTGAAATACACTGCTGCGGGGAGCAGCAGGCAAGAAGGGAGAGGCCTGCTGCACTATCTATGGATTATCTGCCCAAGGATCAAATTCAGGCCATAGCTGTGATAGTGCTAAAACTTAACCCCTAGGTCACCAGGGAGGACCAAGACCCGGACAGTTGTAAAATGAGCTTGGATAGGATTCTGATGTGTTGTTCTGATGTGTTCTGATGTGTTGTTCTGATGTGTTGTTCTGCTGGGCAGAGACTTCTGAGGTACATTCTTGGTTTAAAATTCTATGACTTTATAAAGCAATGATGTCATCTCAAGCCATTCAAATCATAAACATACTTTAGCTATTCCATATAGTAAGACTCGCTTTGCACCTCCAGATATCCTTCAGGCAAAACCATTTATCCCTGCTGACTTTTTTTCAAGAGGGGCTGTTGCCCACAGCCGTCAAAGACATGGTGGGCTTGTCCGCTGCACTGTGGTCTCATTTCCCTTGCCCAAGTTGTCAGAACTGCAGTGGGCATCGGCTGTGTTTGATAGAACTTGGTGTGTTTAAAGAATGTTAATCCCTATGAAGTCATTTTGTGTTTTCCAGCACAACAGATAATGGAACTCTTTCTAATACTCCTTATGCTCCCTTATAGAGGGTATGACAATTTGGGGGTAATTTTAAAGTATTTGACAACTGTGTGAGTTGCAGAGATGCACTCCTTTATTATTAGAAGAATAATTGTAACCAAAGAAATTTTAGTTTCTTCTTTAGCAAATACATTTGTGTTAAGAATGACTGCTGGAGGAAAAGGAAATATGAAAATTACCATGTATCATGATTACCCTGAGAGTTCTCTCTGTGTAATAGTTCGAAGTTGATCTCTTGCCAAAATTAAAACCATATGAGCATATCATAAATCTCAACTATTACTGTGTTTGCTTCTCATTCTGTTTGGAATAAGACTTCAAATACTTTCCAGAATGATGTGAATTACAAATAAATAGAAAAAATTATTCTGTGTTCCATCTATTTTATTTGTACATGTCCATTTCAAGAAAAAAAAAGACTTTAAAAATACAATTCTGCCCCAGAAATGGATCCTTGTCTGCACAACCATAAAAAAAAAAAAAAAAATCATGCAAACTGAAACTGATATTTTGTAGTGACTGTGAAAGGAAGATGCAATTAGTTCAGTAGACTGTATAAGAAGCTCTGATCTGGCAACTGATAACACAAAGGAGAACCTAGACTTCACTGGTTCTTCAAGGAGACACAATTTTACATACAGGTATGATAAGGTCTGCAAGCCCCTGAAAAAGGCCTTTGTGACATATACAACATCGGAATCTGTTAAGCAGTGTGTACTGACATGCCCTTCCCACCACATCAATTTTATCACTATATTTTCTTGACAACAATCATAAGTAGGTAATTTAATTGAAATTATGAATTAACATTTGTTCTTTGAGTGCAATAACAAATCACTTCATGCTTTTCATTTACAGTTAGTTATTGGTGTTAATTTATAATTGTGAAAATGCACCACTAGGTTGAGGAGACAGTAGGTCAGACAATTTATCCAGTTTATTCTCAGCCATGACGACAGTATCCCAGGTAGCCAGTTCCCTAAAAATGTTACTGGTGTCCAGTTTGGGTTTTTCTGTCTTGCAGAAGCTATGCAATTTCACACTAAATTTCTTAGTAAATTTAGCAGCCTTGTCAACCCAGTCTCCGGCCCTAAGTGACTAGTGGATGGGAGTTGAGGTGACTAACAGCCACCAAAAGAAGATGCCTGTGTCTGCCCCTCCCACCCACAAACACACACATTGTGGGGCTTCATCAGACAGCAGGGTATAAATCTTGGGGACAGGAAGGAAGATTCCATAGAGTTGGAATTGCTATCTAATTGGTAAGAATAGAACCATATAATCAGACTCCAGCAAGTCTTGAGGCCACAACCGGCAGGACTGGTGGTTCACACACTAGCTTAGCTCTGGCACAATCTTAGAGAAAAGTGTGCTGTGAGTGCAGGTAGCTCTGAATAATGCAGAAAAAGGTGGATAATACCAGTACACCATGCATGATTTCCAGACCCCTCTCAGGTTAAGCTGGGGAGCAAATAGCAATGTCAGGATTTAGGGGGACACAGGATTAATTTGAAACATAACTGTTAAGGGATGAACCTTTCAGAATTTTTCTGTTTCTACTCTCTTCTGCATTGATGCCTTCAGAAAATAGAGTCAATAGCTGTGCAAAGTTGAAGAAAGACTTCCTCTGGAGTCCCTTCTGCATTTATCTACAGTTAAAAGTAAAAAAAAAAAGTTATTAGTCTTAAGAAATGTTTGTATACAGAGATCATTTTAAATGTCTGCCCGCAGTAGATAGATAAGTTGTGGAATAATCACATAACACAACAATACTATAGCAATAGGGAGGAAAAGTGACGTATATTGAACAGCTTGGATTAATCCTACAAAATTGAGGGTAAAGAAGCAAGTCCCAATTTGTGTACACAATTCAGATTTATAGGAAGTTCAAAAATAAAACTTATGTTGGTAGGGATCCATTTTTAAGTGGTAAAGCCATAAAGAGAAGCAGGAGGTCATTATAAAAGATCATGGTTACTTAGGAAGAGGAAGGGAGATGCGATCAGTAGAGACACATCTTATATTTTGACCTTTGTGGTGATTATATGATGTTCATTTTGTAATTTTTCAGATCATACACATTTCCCATATACATATACCCCTGTAAATATAATATAAAATTAAATGTCAAGCCACCACTACCACCATATCTAATTCCCAATTAAGTGTTTCACACTCAGGAGAGCCCAACTCGGCAACCTGCAACGTGTTTCTGTGTCTCCCTGGCTGGAGGCTCTCTCTTCATGGAGGGGACAAAAGCATATCACTGTTGCAAAGTTCATGCCCCTCATGATACTTCACCTATTGCTTTACCTCTCCTTCCTTTTCCTGTCAACATTTTCTGGGTGCCAACAATGTGTTATGTGTTGTATATACTGGGTTGAATAAGACATGGCCACCCTACTCTTGAGGAGCTCACAGCTCAAGAGAAGAAACAGCAGGTATTTTCAGGTATGAGGTAAGCACAGAAGCTATGAATATAGTGGTGGCACTTGGGAGAGCAGAAAATCTGCCTGAGGAAAATTATCATTTAAAATAATAAAACTGAACACCCATGGAACATAACTGGGTACTCCTAACAATGATCTCCCAAGAGAAGTACTGTTATCCCTACTTCACAAATGACGAGACTGGAAGTCCTGACAAAGAATCAATTTTCCTAAGGTCATCCTGCTAAGTATGCAGCTAGGGCTGGTTCAAATCCAAGTTTCTGACTCCAAAATACTCCAACTTGTTGACTTCTACACCCACCAAGCAAAACAGCTGGTTGGCTGAAAATGAAAAGAACGAAGCTGGAATTATAAAGGGAGTCCTTGGCACAAACACTTTCCAAAGACCACAGTGGATCTTCCTCAGAAGCAGCAGTTAATAAATGAGCAATTGACCCCCAGTCACTGCTTCATTTGCAAGTGAGGATTCAGATTGTAATATACTTACATAAACCAGAGATGCTTGTGATGGGACTTCAAGTTACATTTTAGTTCTGCTTCATTAGAACACACCCCAACTATATTCTGAAACCTCTCTTGTCCCTACAAGGTAGCGGACATTTTGTAGTCTTTTCTTTATCTGCTCTCCATAGTGTCTCACTGAATTCTACTACAGTCACTACCTCTTGGATACTTTCTGAGAAATGTGCTGTTAACAGCACACAGTGTAATTACACAAACCCAGAGGGCGTAGCCCACCTGGGCCACCATTGCCTATGTGGTCAGTCATGGTCAAAAATGTTACAAAGTGAAGCTTAATGTAGCTGATTGCATTTAATGGACTTAAATGTCCTATTTCTACTAACCAGCCCTGAAATATTTTCCTTCTTATATTCACTTCTCTTCAACCAATACTATATAATACTCCCCACCTATATATGTAAGCTTTTCTAAATTTATCTTCCTTCTGAAGGAAAACCAGGTCTATATTTCTAGTATCTAATAGTCGTCATACCTTTTAAAATTGTATTATTTTTGATTGAGGCAATGTTAGTTTATAACACTGCAAATGAATTAGGGGAGGGGTTCACAACTCATCAATGTACAACACCACAACACACCCACCACCAAAGCACACATGATCCTGCACCAATAGTTTAGCTCCCCATCAGCCTGTCTCTTTTAATACTGATAAATTATTAGTAACTTTTTTTTTCAAGAACGTTATAACATCTTCTTTTTTTGGCAAATGATAACCTTTTCAATCATTGTCATACCAGTATTGTATGACATACATAATTTGGCTTGCCCATTATCCCTAATTTCTCTTAGAGTGACAAAAATACATTCATTCATTCTAACAGCTTTTTGGTCCACTTGGGAACTACGAACTCACGGCTCTTTCAACACATTCAACTAGTTGTAATTTACCATGAAGTTCAACTTTTCACATGTTGGCCATATGTATCTCACCAATAACCCAGGTCTCCACATAACCAGCTAAATAGTAGGCTTTATGAGGACACATGGTCGTTAACCAGCCTTTCGCTCTAGAAAAGCAGGCAAAGGAATAAAAGAATGTATCCTCATTTCCACATTTCTTCACAGATGACAGGTCTGGTGGGGGAAGAAATACTCTGTGGGAGCCCATTTTCTGATTCTCAGTCTGTGCTTTCTGGAAGGATAAGGGGCTCTCATAAAACAACAACAACAACAAAAAAAACCAATTGTTTCAGAAACAAGGGCTTAGTCATAAACACTTGAAGGTGTGACACTTGCTACTTTCTGATGACTGGGAGGCAGGAGGCTTTTCAGGGGCCTCTTGTCAATCAGCAGAAGAAGGTGTTTTGGAAAAAGCTGGGGCCAGGCTGCCAGGGTGTGCCATCTCTCAGAGCATTAGTGCCAACATTTCCCCTTTCTATTTTCATCTTAAACCTTCCTTCTTGTTTGCTTTGTTGCTGTCTACTCTCAAAATTTCTCCTTTGTTTCTCTACAGATTACCTGAAAGTTTCCTGAATCTCATAGTGGTTTCTCCCTGCTCATCTAAATTCCAAATGGAGAATATTTTAAGAGAACATTAAATAAGTTTTATATTTTCATATGTTACTGTGTACCTCGTAGGAATTGGGGGTGGGGGAGAGCAATTTGCTAAGTGCTTACTGAATCATAGGTTCTATTGTTAGCACTTATAATTTTAGCAAATTTAAACCAGTCAACCAGGTAATAGTGTTTAATGTCCTTACCGAACAAATAAGAATCCTAATTAGTATATTGATTGCTTTGTATGAAGAAAACTCAGTTACGTAAAAATTTGAAAATCAGATGTCCTCCCACATACTATAAGTGTTGGCTCCATAATCATTGCTGTGAAATTAATTTCCAGTAACCCTCTTTCACCTGTTCCCAAAAGACCAATTCCAAATCAGAACTCAGAAGCTATGAGGCTTTAATTTAATTGGAAACTAGGTAGGTAGCTTTACTTTTTTTTTTTTTTTTAAGTTTTTAAAGATTATTTATTTATACATACAGAACTGGGGTACAGGTCAGAGGTGCAGGGGGAGGGAGAGGATTCACCAGAGACAGAGTGGGGAGCAGAACAGGCCAACTGATGAAATACACTGCTGAGGGGAGCAGCGTCCTGTGGATCATGCTGCCACGCCTTGTGGTTCACCTCTGGGGTGGGCGGGGATCGAACTCATGCTGAAGTGGCTTTAGCTTCTCAGTGCTGTGCTTTAACCTGCTGCGCCACCGGGGAGGGCCCAGGTAGCTTTATGTTTAACTTTAAGAAACTTGTCCTTGTTGGTCTGAGACTTGCTATAAAATCCTGCAGCAAGTGATACCCTGATCAGTACAGAAGATTTCTTTTTGTTTATAAAAAGCTGAAGACAAGTGAGCAGAAAATAGGATCCATTTCTAAGTCTTCACCAGACTTCTCGAAAGAAAAGTGGAGCAGTCAGTGATAATATTTCTGCCAGCAGTCAGTGCACCCCACTGCTAAAGCAGGAAAACTGTCACATGCATTGGGAGCTGCACATGTTGTCTACTCTTTCTCTCTAGTTCCGTGAATTTGTAAACCACCAAATAGATGCCAGTTCTAACATTGCTCAACTCGAGTTTGTTTTTCCCACATCACTCAAAACACTGCTTGAGTTTTGGTTTTGGTTTTCCTGTAACTGTGCCAAGAGGCTTCTGGGTTAAACCCAGGCTGTCACAGATCTGTTCATGGTCATCACTTGTGGACTCCTTCTAACATGCTCCCCTGCTAATAATGACTTTTGGTTTGCTCCATTATTTGCAGTATTTAGATCAAACTTTCTAGAACAGTCTAGAATGTGCTTTCCAATGCAGCAGCAGCTAGCTACCATTTGGTTTCTGAACAACTATACTGTGGCCAGTGCAACTGGGGAACTAAGTTTGTAATTCTATGTAATTAAAACAAGACTGATTTTTAAACTAGATATTTCACCCTGTTATTGAAACATTAAAAAAATATACTGTAACAACTTAGTTATGTGAAACCTGTCTTTTTTTAATAGTAAATTTTATGAAACACAATAAAATATTTGCATTTTGGATGAAAATTTATCATCTGAATTGAGGAGTCATTAAGTACCACATTTTAAAGACTTAGTTAAAAAATCATAAACTATCTAGGTAAGATGTTTTATATTGTTGCATGTTGAAATGATAATACTTAGGCTACTACAATATGATAGGTATCGTTTTAAATGATTTTAATTTATTTTTTATTGTCTTTGAAAATATGACTGCTAGGAAATTTTAAATACTTACATAGCCCATTATACTTCTATCAGACAATGCTGGTCTAGAAAATGTATTGAATGAAGGAGGAAAGAATGAATGAATGGATTCAAGGCCCTCACAGTCTTGGCTCAACCATGCTTTTCAGTCTGATCCACCACTGTTTTAGCTTGTCTGTCCTGCATTGCATTTCTGCTAGCTTTACTGGGCTCCTTCATGTATCAGTGCCTTTGTTCCCTCTCCTCCATCTGCCACAAACTTCTATTCGTCCTTCAAAACCCTAATGTCCTCTTCTCTTTGAAGCCCATACCTGTGTCTCTAGGTTAGGTCCACAAGATCGGGCACATTCGGTAAATCCTGTTACTGCACTTACCACCTTGCTGTGGGTGCAGATTTCATGCCTCTCTTTCCCTCTTTGAATTCCCAGAATTAAGCACCATGCCTTGGATAGCAGAGATGCCCCATAAGCCTGCTGCATATGTCAGTTTGATGGAGTGGCATCCATTCTCTAGTGGTAGCATCCATGACCTTGGCTCCTACCGAAGGTTCAGAATTACTGTGAGCCTTGTGAAGGGACGGCCCTGCGATGGACACAGGCAAAATCTGTTTTGTGCTCCAAGCAACCACAGTGGAAGAAAATCAAGAAATGCCCAGAGGAGTACAAAGGTCTGGAGTTCTTTCCTGCCTGCTGATACAAGCATGAGTGAGCATAACTCATTTCAACAGGACCACAGGGTGCAGAGAATAGCATGCCAAGTCACAAGGTCATTGTAGAAATCCAGGCAAGGCCCGACAGTCAGGAAGACAGGGTGTGGAGAGCAGACTACTTCCAGCAGCGTCAAAAAGAACGAGTTTTTTAAGTCTCTCAGAGACTGATGGAAGGTTCATGCTTCATTGTCAGGTGTGAGAACAGAATCACAGAGGTCCTCCAGACCTCTCCTTCTTGCCCCTTTATTTCAGTGGCCCTGGGCCAGCAGGTGGGAGGGAGTTCATCTCAAAGTCCAGACTGCTAGTGGCCCAGACTGTCCCTAGGGGTGAGTGGGGAGTACTCCAAACTCAGAACCAAGACATGAACGCAGCTGAGGTGGGGCATCCATAAAAAGGGCCCAGCATCCAGGAATGGGAAGTCCCAAAGTTTTTTTTCTATTTCAAAGAATTCTGCAAAGGGGAGTGTGAACAAATTGGTTAAAAGGCTTCTGCTTAAAAGTAAACAGAGCATCAGTCTCTCTTGAGACTAAGAATGCTTGCATACTGTGTAATGGTTAAAGGCAAAACCCACCAAAATGAACTATAAACAGAATGGCTGAATAAACAATTGAATATCCATATTATGAACTATTATATTACTGTTAAAAGGAAGGAAGGCATGGCTGCAGTATGTGTCAACTCCCAGATGTTTCAGGAAATGTCTACAGGATGTAATATTTCCCATAGGGTGTGTGTGTTTTTATAGAGTAAATAGATTGATGTCATCGGGGTGAGCCAAGAAGGAGGTGCAAGGGGGGAACTGAGGAGCAGGAACATAAATAACAGGAGGATGGCGGGAGGAAGAGAGAGAAGGAAAGGAGAGGAAAAGAAGTAAAACATAATAAACTGTTTATACTGGCTATTTGAGGGGAGTATGATTGGAAGGAACATTGTTAATTGCTTGATAAATGCATTAACATATACTTACATATACATATAGCATTACTCTTGGATATTACAGTGACCACTTATTAGTTCAGTGATTAAAAAAATTCTCTAAAATAAATCTGATCTCAATCACCAATGTAAACACTTCTAGGGTTAACACCACTAGAACCACTAACTAACTTGCTGCTAATCCTCTCCCAAATTATCTTTCTGATTTTTAGAGACTCTCAAGGGAAACAACCCCCTTGCTTGCTGGTGCATATGGGATATGGCCTTGAAATAGCGTCTCCCAGCTTCCCACTGCAATGTCCATGGAGAACAAGAAAAAAGTGCATAGTAGTAGGAATTCTGAAAACTTGGGTTGTCAATGATTGCCAGTGGAACTAGATTCCATTATCTGCTCTTGACTCAGAACATGACCAGAAAAACAGACATCTGGCCTTCTGCTATGGGGTCATGATTTTCAGAAGTCAAGAGTGGTTCTCCCTCTACCCCACCAGGGCACCTTTTTTAATTTCTAACTAGAAAAATACAGAGGAAATGGAGGACATGAGCCCAGTGGGACAGGAGACTTCCTTCACCTTAGATATTTGTAAGGGGGCATTCCAGAAATTGAATTTATCTGAGAGCTTGGTTAGCTCTGTATCCATGTACTTATCATTTGTGAGTATTTAGAATTTAGGTGGAAGTAGTACAACACAGAGGTAAAAGGGATTTCCTGGCTCTGAAAGTGGTTAAACTGAATTACTTAGGGATTTTTCTCACTACAAATCTTGAAAGAAATTCTCTTCTGTCTGGAGTATTTCTGAATCTGTTCCAGGCTGCACAGGGTGGAAATCACTAATCTCAGAGAGGTCTTCAGAATCCTGAACTCCTAAGACCTTGACTTAAATAAAGCACCTTTTGTTTGCTTGCTTGCAATGAGCTAAGCCTTTGTTCTCTGTGACAACCAGAGCTCCCTGACACATAGCTAGGTTCATTCTGTATCCCTGTGCTTTTGCACTTTCAGCCTAGTGACTGGTAGTAGGTTCACAAACATTGAGGACACATCTGGAGGCTGCAGCAAAGAGTGACTGGATGGATTAACAGTGTCTGCTGTGACTTGGAAGTTGGGATGATGTAATTGACACACCTGATTTTAAGCAAGAGGCACCTTTCAGTCTTCTAGACCCAGTGCTAAATTCTCGGACTTGTAGAAAATGGGCCATTAATAGTTTTTAGAAGAATTCATTATCAGCAATTCTCCCCAAGGAAATGATAATGGAGTTGCCTTACAAACAAGTTTGTTAACTATTGATTGATTAACTTTCTGTGAAGAACAGAAGTAGATACCCATTCTCCTGTTCTAGTCTCCCAGTGATCTCCTGGCCTTACCCTCTCTAGAGCTGTTTTCCACAAAGTTGATGGAACAAGCCTTCTAAATTTGTACTTTGTCTGTTCTCAGTAGTTTCCAACATCCTCAGGACAATCACTTGCTCTTATGAAAGACATCTTGATCTGGCCCTTACTGGGCTCTCCACTCTATCTTTCTCTCTCTAAAAAAATTAATGTATTTTCTAATTTTGGGACAGTATTTGATTTCTTTCCTCAGGTGTAGTCCCTGTAGTTCTCCCACCACCATAGCACTGTGATCCAGCTGCACAGTCCCTTGTGCTCTTCCCTCTTATTTTGACCCCTTCCGCACCCCCTTCCCTGCTGTCTCTCAGATTTATGGTCAGCTTGCAAGTTTTGTCTTTTTTCTTGACCTTTTGTTCAGTGTCTCTACATTCCATGTGAAATCATCTGAATGGAGACCAAATTAACTTTTTCTTTCTGACTTATTTCATTTAGCATAATCCCTTTCAGCTCCATCCATGTTGCCACAAATAGCACTAGTTATCCTTTTTGATCACTGAGTAGTAGTCCACTGTGTGTGTGTGTGTGTGTGTGTGTGTGTGTGTGTATACCTTGGTCCAGTCATGTGTTTTGGTCCACTCCCATGTCTTGTTCCTCTTTTCCTTGGCACTTTATGTCACAGCCAAGCTGAGATCCTTGCCTTTCTTAATCTTTTTCACTTGGAATTCTTCCTTGTGGTTTGCCCTGCTCCCCTCACAGATTAATTCTCCTACACAACCTTCTTCCAATACTTTTTGTTCCCTTTAGATCAAGGGCCTTCAGAACTCTGTGTTCCTCTTAAGCTGATAATGTGATTATAGATTTGTCCATTTCCCCTAATTAAAACCCTAAACTCCAAAGGCAAGAAATGTTTCTTATTATCTGCTTCCAAACAGGGTAGGGCAACCAGTGGCTGGCTCAGTGGGATGCTTGATACAAATTTATTTAAGTGAGCAAGTGAATGGGACCAGGCAGTTTCCCTAAACTCTTGAAATCAGTGGTGACTCAGTACAGGTTATTGCTGATGGTCACTAAGTTGACACTCCTGGCCTGCATAGTATCTTCATTGTTTAACTTAACTACCTGCTTTTCTGGCTCATGTGCTGCTTCTCCTTCCTAATAACTAGTTATTGCAAGAAATTGAGGCTAAGGAAGCAGGTGTCAATTATGAACAAAATGCAAAAATTTAGAAATTCAAAGTTGTTAAATCTTGGATCTAGAAGAGATCTTTTGGATCATCCTGTTCAGCGGAGGCTAGAGGTCACACAGAAAAAATCATTCTCCCTTCCCTCCTATTTTCTTAGAAAAAGGAGTTGTTTTCAGCATCCACAAGGCATTTATGCAAATTGTAGTTTCCCTATCATGACAGACATTTAATCTTGACTAATAACAATGTAAAGAGAGTAAGGGACCTGTTTTGGCTCTCTGAGGCTGGAATTCCCACATTCCCTAGTGAGAATGTTCCCTATTTTTCTTCCCACCTCTTGAAAAGAATCTGTAACAGGCTCACATTGTGGGGGCGGGGAGGCAAAGGACTCACCTTGTGTAGCTGTGTTTTCGTTTCGTAGTAGGCGATCACCGGGATGGAGGCTCGGTAGTAGGTTTCAAGGCGCTTGGCGATGGCAGCGGTGCTGTTGTCCATCCTTGGGCTTCTCTGACGCTTCTGGAGAAGGCGGTTGGTCATGGTGTCTGCCGAGCAGTCCATACAGATCACCAAGTGTGGTTCTCCAATCTGAGGGTGGAGGAAATGGCAGTCAGATATGCCACTCTGTGGGGCTCTGGAAAGGCTGGGCCCCAGTTCTTTCTCTTCTTAGCTTTCTGGCTGGTCGCAAGGTCTTAACAACCACAGTGAAGATGGGACTGAACTTTGTGACTCCCCATGTCCAGGTCAGTGTTAGGTTAAGCCCTTTTGTCTCACACCTTATTTCTCGCTGGACTTTCCCTCATCACTCCTTTTTGTTAACTTTCAGTCAGTGGTTTTCCATATGCTGCATGGCGGCTGTCTCTTGCCCTCAGCTTTTAAGTCACCTCACCTAACACAGGTATTATAGAGCATGCTACCCAGAGCAGTTCTCAATCAGTCCACTCCACTAAAGGGAGGTGTGTGCTTGTGTGTGTGTGGTTTCCTCCTGGAAGCCTTTCCTGACTTACGGTGACAGAGCTGTTCAGTTCCTCCTTTGTGCTACCATTGTACCTGAAGCTGATTCATAGGAGCGTGGTGTGACCATGCAGCTGTGTGCAGGTGAGGAGAGCACGATGGTTAAATAGGCAAAGGTAGAAGCCAAGCTCTTAGGGTCAAATCCTGTTGTGGAGATTTGACTCCAATATTACACACACAACCCATTCTTCCGCCACCCTGAATCTAACTGACTTGTAACTATTTTGTCTAGTAGGATACAATGGAAATGATGTGGCATGCTTTTAGAAGGAAGACCATAAGAAAGGTTGCAGTTTCTGTCTAGTCAGCTGCTGTCTGAGATACCTGAACATCCTGACCGAGATGTGAGGAGGCACAGCTAGCTTCTTAGAGCGGCTGTGTGGACAGAGAGGCCCAGCAGCCCTTTCAAGACACCCAAACCCAGCTCCAGACATGCACACTTAATGTACACTCTGGCAGCGAAACCCTGAGTGAGAAGCAGGCAGCCAAGTCTATCACCCCTCAGAGACATTGTTCTTATAAGCTAATTAACTTGGTCATCAAAACTGTCACTTAATGTTAACTTTTCTGCACCCCCATATTCATCCATGAAATGCCAATGCTTACAGAATTGCTGTGAAGATAAATAAAATTAAATAAGATAATGAAAGTATGTTGCTCCGTCTACAACAAACACTCAAAAAGTATTAGCTGTTGGTTGCTCTCCTGTGTCTGGCTGCCAGTTCTTGGGGTGAGCAGGCCCACCTCTTGCAAAAGTATGTGATGTAAGAAATGTTTTAATGAATGAAGGATGGTGATAAGAACAGTTTTCCCCTCCCCCATCCTTTTCTTAAGTGTACTTTCCTTCCGTATGTCTCTATGTTGGCTCCATTACCAACTGTAGCCCTGATTCAAAAGAAACTCCTGATCTTGCAAAGCAAGGTTATGAGTAAATGAACATCTTGCTGTCCCCTGCTGTTGAAAGTATGTGGAAAGGATAGTAACTAAGTCAGGGCAGGAAGGACTCCTAGCCAACACATAAAAACCTAAGAGGCTAGTGAGTGTTATCAAATGTTTACCTACTCTTCTGAAGGGTATACAACAAGGAAAAGAGTGGGAAAATTCTCCAAAATCTAGGAAAGTAAACTAAATCTTCGGACAATATCATGCAGCATTTTTTGCTTGCTTTAACAAGAAGAAAAACGAGCATTTGAAGAGCAAGAAAAGCTAAATGATGGTGTAGAAAATGTCCTTTGTCCACCAGCAGAGGGCGAGCTTGGGAGGCAGCCTCTGGCACAGAGAGATGGGCTCTTTGGAGCACTTCTCTGTGGGGCTGGATGGGAAGATAAAGTTGTCTCTCTCTTTTTTTTTTAAAGATTTATTTATTTGTGCATACAGAACATACAGATCAGAGGCTCAGGGGTGGCAAGAGGTTTCACCAGAGACAGAGTGGGGAACAGAACAGGCAGATCTACAAGTACACTGCTGAGGGGAGCAGTGGGCGGGTCAGGAGAGGTCTGCCACACCGTGTGGTCACCTCCAGGGCAGGCGGGGATTGAACTCATGCAGCTTAAGCTTCTTAGTGCTGTGCTTTAACCCGCTGCGCCACCAGGGAGGGCCAAAGTTGTCTTTTTAACTGCAGGGGTTTTCAGGCCAATCTTGGGGACAGGAAACAAAATTCAGGGGCTTATTTAGGTACAGAGATATCTGTATCTGTATCTGAGCAGGAGCTGGTAGTAAATGAAAGGTCTTCTGGATCAAAGTAAACTCAGAACAGAGAAGTAGCCTCATCTCCCATTCTGACTTTTCAAAGAGGGGTTCAGGCAACAGTGGCACTGATGTGATTTGGGAACTTGTTAGAATGTCATCTCAAACACTATCCTTGCCAGTCTCAGACCACCACACTTTGGAGTTTGGTTCTGTAAAGACCCTCAAAGTCTTCACAAATTAGCACTGTGAGAAGTTGCTCTAATCAGGCCATTTCCTCATGCCCAGATTATAGGCTTTGACCTGACTTGTCTCTCCTGAATGAGCCATCCCTACCTACATAAAAAATTGTCGAGCCACCTGGGAGTGGCTGGCACCACTGATGTACGTAATATCTAACATTACAGAAATGTTTGAATGAAACCTCATTCACTTTGATTACACCTTTAGAGAAGCGTTTTAGTGGCACGCTCTGATTGCCAGCTCTCCCGCTTCTTCTCTGGGCTGTGGGTAGCCCCTAACATCATGTGAGCTGGAATGTAGAGAACCCTGTCCATGTGTCAGTGGAGTACAGAGACTTGGGTTAACTCCCTGCCTCCAACATCCCCCTGCTGGTGTCCCTAGAATTCTGCCACTTGCACCAGGGGGTTCTTCATAGACATTGGATCTTCAGGGACCTCTATTAGAAATTGAATGCCTGGAAGGGTGGAGCCACTACCAGCCACATTTCAGGCTGAGCACAATGAGGGAAGGGTTTACATGCAGTTATCTCTTTAATCCTTTCAGCACCTCTGAAGTGGGGGAAGAAATGGAGGCTTGCAGAGCCTAACTTGCCCAAGGTCACTGAGGACTAGTTAGTGATAGTCCTGAGCCAAGCTGTGTGTCACTCCAAAATTTGGTGACTTCACCCTAATGGAAGGTTCTGGAGCCTTCAGAATGGACTCAGACTAGATGCTAGGGGCCCAGTGGAACTAAGAGTGGAGGGCAGGATAGTGGGAGAAGTGAGCAGTCAGAGGCCACACTTGCCATAAAACTTCAGTTTTCTTCTAATTAAGTCAGGATGCCCATTTGGCCACAGTGACAGTAATGGGGTCGTGCCTTCCAGAAATTCTCCTATTGAAATTTTCAGCTATCATGTTCTGTGCCTCAGTTTTCTCCTTTTAAAATGAGGGAAATGATAGTTTCCACACACTAGGATGATTGTGAAGATGAAATGAGTTAATACTTAAGAACCAGACTAACTTCGGGTATAACATAAATTGAGATAACAGTACTTAACATGGACCTGGAAACATACTCTTTGAATGCACAATCCCCTGTTGGTCAGATTTGGGTTTAGAGTCAGAGGACCCAAGGAGGCTTCCAGGATAATCATATGCCCCAGCACACTTACCAGCGACTTGCACTGGGAAGTAGGACCCCTGGCTAGCAAAATACACACCTACTTCCCACTTGCTCTCACCCTTGGGTGCCTCATCAGAGGAGGGGTATTTGGTTCATTCCAGAATTCCTGGACATACAACCCTGATTATGATAACACCCATTGCCACCACAACTGCCACCCATATGCAGCCACAGTATAGCTCAAAGTTCAAAAATGAACCAAGTCAGATGAGGAGAATAGAAAATCTCAAGTGGAAAATGCCAACGTGGTTCCTATAGGACTGACTTCCCCCCAAATGTTCAGATAGGTGATTTTCAAGATGGCCCAGGAAGATGTTTTTCTAGTATTTGTCACCTTGGCACTTGAAGCTGACTAAGGTCAGTCAAGGCCTTGGGAGTCTCAAGGTGAACTGTTAGCATTACCTTAAAGAATGGAGATCACCTATATTTCAGGCCATATCCACAAAAAGCCCTTCATTTTTTTCCTACTAAGGCAGGGCAAACATACAGAAGCAAGGTTTGCTCATAGGAATTCATCCCCTTCTTTTCATGTAAGACCCCCATCTTGCTCCTTGATGCCTCAGACTTTTCCACTCCTTAGTTCAAGTTATAAATCCCCAGTTTGTCACCTTCACTAGAGAATTTACAGCACATAAGTTTCCATAGGTATGTAACTAAATTTAATCTTTTTGTCCTACTATTCTGTCTGATAGTAATTGCTTGTTTGGTCAGTCTGACAAGAACCCGAGGGGTGGGGGGGTTTCCCGGTGCATTTCTCTAGCCACAAGGTTCCCCGCAATTCCAATCAGAACATACCACCACCTAGAAATTTTCTTGGCCAGATTCCAGATTCGTAAGTTCTTTTTTTTTTTTTTTAAGATTTATTTATTTGTGCATACAGAACTGGGGTACAGGCCGGAGGTGCAGAGATGGTGAGAGACAGAGACAGAGTGGGGAGCAGAACAGGCAGATCAACGAAGTGCACTGCTGAGGGGAGCAGCGGGCGCGGGCCAGGAGAGGTCTGCCACGCCATGTGGTCACCTGTGGGCCTGGCGGGGATCTAACTCATGCTGAAGTGGCTTTAGCTTCTTAGTGCTGTGCTTTAACCCTCTGCTCCACCAGGGAGGACCCTCATAAGTAAGTTTTTTTTAAGAACTCATTGTGAAGATGAGAATAATAAACAATCGCTGATGAAAAATGTTAGGAAAGAGTTCAAAGTAGTCAGGCAGAGGGATAATGATGTCATCATTCACACAATCGGGGAAATTATGTGCATATTCAGGCTAAGGGCAGGATTTCAGTGAAGAGGCTTCAGGGAGGGAAAAGCCAAGAGCAAAGGCACACACTTCACTTCTGTTAATGTGTTTTTTGTTTGGCTGCTGTCAAGCACAATACTGGGTTAATTCAAGAAGGCATTTCGAATTCACACAAGGGAGTCAAGCTTAAGCACACACCCCTTCTGGAGATGGTGATCATCCATAAAGTGGGGCTAATAATACCTACTG